CTCTCCCTCCCCCGCCCCACACCACACACACACACACACTCTCTGACCTTTCTGAAGAAAGGTCACAACCCGAAACGTCAGCTTTCCTTCTCCGCTAATGTTGCCTGGGCTGCTGTGTTCATCCAGTTCCACACTGTTTTCTCAGACTCCAGCATCGGCAGTTCTTACTATCTCTCAGTCAGTCAATATGCTGTTTTATAAATTACTTTAGAAATTAAACCAGTCTGATTGTCAACAATGTCTTACACCGAACATGCACCATCTGAGCTAAAATGTCACCTCTTCTTTACACTGATAACTGTGATGTGGAGGTGCTGGTATTGAACTTGGGTGGACAATGTCAGAAATCACATGACAGCAGGTTATAGTCCAACAGGTTTATTTGAAAGCACAAACTTTCAGAGCCTCAGTTGTCCATCAGCACCTGAAGAAGGACTGAGGCTATGAAAGCTTGTGTTTTCAAATAAACCTGTTGGACTATAATCTGCTGTCATGCGATTTCTGATTTTACACTGATAAAGCCTTTAGTTATTTCAGAATGTGACATTGTGAGGAATTTGGGGATTTACATATACGTATTCAACAATTAAAACCCTCTAACTGATTAAAGATTTAACAGCATCTTAGGTTTGTTTAGTAGATTCTCATCAATGGTGTGAACCTTTGATCCTTTACGTATAAATTCTGTGTCTGATACTATCCTCTCTCACTGACACCTGAAGGAGGACTCAGGCTTTGAAAGCTTGTGTTTTCAAATAAACCTGTTGGACTATAACCTGGTGTCGTGTGATTTCTAAACTTGTCCACCCCAGTCCAACGCCGGCACCCGCAAATCTTGGTCTGCTGTGGAGGGTCTTTGGGGAGCAATTGTGATGTTCATCTTTGTAACTTTGCTTCTTGTTTTTTCTGACATATGATCATACTGTGTACAGATCTAACGTAACTTTTTTTTCTTTATTTCTCTCTTTTGTAAGTATGGATTGTACCTAGGTACATTTGTACCTAAGATGACACTGTAAGTGGCGACTTATAAACTTTTCACTGTCCTCATTTGAGGACATCTGCCAATAAAGCTAATTCATTCATTCATTATCAAATTTTTCTTAGCATGTGGCAGCTTTCTGACATGAAACATAAGCTTGACACTAGTATCATCTAAGTTATGTTCATAATTGTAGATTGTATACAATTTATTTGGTCCTTTCAGATTTCAGTCTTTTGTATTTCTATTATCTGTTCACGCACTACAAGATCTGTATACTTCATACATATGAGTCATACCTTGTGTTGTCGAAGGAGGAATGGAAGCAGCATCAACATGCCTCCATCGTGCACAATCCACCAAACATCAATGTGGCCCTCAGTGAAGCGTTCGTGATTACTTGGGTAGAAAGAAACATTTTTTGGCACCAGTAGGGCTAGATGGCCAGCTGTCGTGACTCTCACAGTGTCTAAGTAGTAAGATCGGTGTTATTAGCATCAAAATACATTTCACTAGCCCAAAATGAGGGCTGATTAGCAGTAGAAATCTGCTGAGTTAGATCGTAATAAATTGAGGCACATTTATATATTGAGTTTCTCAAAAATACACAGGTCATACTAAAATTTCATACTAAATGGCACTTTTCTTTTCAAAACAGTGGCCACTGAAATTATATTCGACACTTAAATATTGTTAATTGGCATCTGCCTCATTCTTATTCCAAGTTTTATGTTGATACTTGTTTCGCTTTTTTTGGTAAAGTTCTAACAGCTCTCATCTTGGGGATAACTAGAAATTTGGCTGCAGATTGTAATAGTTTTACAAAATGAAATCATAGTTTAAGTTTCTATTCATACTAATTTACAAATTCAAATCACAAAGGAACTGGCAAGAACCAATGCAAATGGACAGTGCTAATGATTTCTTTTCTTTTAATATTTTAGCAAATGTGTCAAGTTCAATCAAAATTTAAATGAAAAATACTTTGGAAAACCATACAGTTAAAAACAAGAAACAGAAGCAGGAATAAGCAATTCAACCACTCAAGCTGGCTTCACCATCCAATGAGATCATAGTTGGTTTGTTTACGGCTATAATTCACTTGGCTGTCTGCCCACCAAAACCCAAGTCTTCCTCGATCAAAAAAACTGGCTAACTTAACCTCAAATATATCTAACGCTCCAGCCTCCACTAATCTCTAGGATGCACAATTCCATACATGAGCAATCCTCAGAGAAGAAATTCCTGTACATCTCAGTGTTAGACAAGGGAAACCCTTGATCTGAAACTCTCTCTCTCAGATTCCAAGCAAAGGAAATCTTTGGGCAGAACTTAACATGGGGTGGGGTGGTGGTGGAGAGAAAGCGAGCGCGAGAACGAGAATCAGAGCGAGCGCACGAGAGCCAGACCAAGAACAAGAGTGAGAGAGCGCGCAAGAGCGAGCGCCTAAGCAAAAGCAAGCAAGAGTGTGACAAAGAGTGAGAGTGAGTGAAAGCGAGACAAAGAAGCCTCCACTAATCTCTGGGATGCACAATTCCATACATGAGCAATCCTCAGAGGAGAAATTCCTGTACATCTCGGTGTTAGACAAGGCTTAGGCGCTCGCTCTTGCGCGCTCTCTCACTCTTGTTCTTGGTCTGGCTCTCGTGCGCTCGCTCTGATTCTCGTTCTCGCGCTCGCTTTCTCTCCACCACCACCCCACCCCATGTTAAGTTCTGCCCAAAGATTTCCTTACCATCCTTTTTAAAACCCTTTTCTGCAAAAAAAGAGCTACCAACACTCCCCAGTTGCCTATGCCAACCGTATTACAGCTTGGGCAGGGTAATACTTGGGACAATTTAACATTTGACGAACTCAGTTGAGATGTAGTTATTTATCTACATATGGTGGCTGGGCTATTTATTTTAACCATCTCTGTACTGTGGGGGTGAGTTCAGGGGTGGATGGGAAAGTGATAGTCTGGACACATGCCCTATTTATTCGTGGTCTCCTGGTTGAAAACATAATTGACACAGGCATGTAAAATACAGCCCAGTGTATCAGCATTTACCTTGACAAGACCCATAACAATCTTCTATGCTTCAATCAGATGAACTCTTGGCTTTCTAAATTCCAGTTGAGTATAAACTCACTTTTAGTACATGAGATCAAAAAAAAATTTAAGCTTTTAAAAGGTGCCTATTCATGAGCTTGGACCAAACAAAAACTACATTTCAGGAGCTTCCTCAGCCACAAATAGTTGAGCTAGCAGAAGGGTTCTAAGGAGTGGAAATCTTCCAATGTAGCACCCTTTCAGATAGGGACAAAGACTTAAAAATAAGGCAATTATAGACCAGTTATCTCAATATCTGTTATTGGGGAAATGTTAAATCGATCATGAAGGACGTTATAGTAGCACTAAGAAATACACAGTACAACCAAGAAGAGTAGGCATGGCTTCAAGAAGGGGAAAGCATGCCTGACAAAATTTATTAGAAATCTTTGAGGAGATAACAAACAGGATAGACAAAGGGGAACCCTTAGATGCAATACATTTGGACTTCCAAAAGGCATTCGATAAGGTACTGTGCAGAAGATTAGTTTAGATAAGAATTTGTGGTGTTGGATGTAGCAGAATTGAGATAACGAGAAGGGGTCATTTTCAGGATAGCAATCTGCAACTTGCAACTAGTAGACTGCTGTAGGGATCAGTGCTGGGGTCACAATTATTGATGATACACATTCACTGTCCTCAAAGTCAGTAATGTGCTACAGTCAAGTTTGCAGATGACACAAAAATGAGGGTTAGAAGCCAAGTGGTCAGGATGACAGAGTCTGCAGAGAGATATAGGTGGATTAATGGACGAAAACCTGGCAGATGGAATATAATGTTGGAAACAGTGAGGTTATGCACCATAGCAGTAAGGATAGAGGTGCTGAATATTATTTTAAATGGAGAAATACAGCAGAAAGCTGCACAAAAAAAGAATTTTGGGATCTATAAGACCATAAGCTAAAGAGACAGATTTAGGCCACTTGGTCCATCAAGACTGCTCCACCATTCAATCATGGCTGATGTGTTTCGCAACGCCATTCTCCTGCCTTTACTTCTTAACCCACTGTTCCCTTACTAATCAAGAGCATATCTCGGTCTTAAATATACTCAATGACACTAAAGGTCTCCGCAGCTTTCTATAGCAATGAGATTCACCACTCCCTGGCTGAAGAAGTTCCTCCTCATCTCAGTTCTAAAGGGTCACCCCTTCACTGAGACTGTGCCCTCAGGTCCTAGTCTCTCCTGCTAGTGGAAACATCTTCTCCACATTTACTGTATCCAGCCTCTCAGTAATCTGGAAGTTTCATTCAGATCCCCCCTTATCCTTTAAACACTATCAAATACAGATCCAGAGTCCTCGACTGCTCCTCATATTACGAGCCCTTCATGAGATCATTCTTGTAAACCTTCTTTGGACCCCTCCAGCACTAGCACATCATTCCTTAGGTACAGATACAGTTCACAATATTCCAAATGCCGTCTTGTACAATCTCAGCAGTACACCTTTGCTTCTGTATTCTAGCCCTCTTGAAATGAATGCTAACATTGCATTTGCCTTCTTAACTGCCAACTGGTCCTATATGTTAACCTTAAGGGAATCCTGAACCAGGACTGAAAAGTCCTTTTGCACTTCAGATTTCTGAAGCTTTTCCCCATTTAGTAAATAATCTACACCTTTATTCTACCTACCAAAAGGTGGATAGCCTCATACTTTCCCACATTTGTATTCCACTTGCCACTTCTTTACCCACTCTCCTAGCCTGACCAAATCCTCCTGCATCCTCCCTGCTTTCTCAACACTTGAATGAAGATTTGTAGCTAGGCTGCTGGTTGTAGATGTTGGCTGTTCGCTGAGCTGGGAGGTTTGATAGCAGACATTTTGTCCCTGTACTATGTGATGTCCTCAGTGCTGTGCAGCCTCTGGTGAAGCGCTGTTGTCTTGTGCCGGTTTGAATTTACATGGCCTGGTTTTTACTGCTTCTGGAAGGTGCTGGTTCCGGTTGTGTGTTATAGTGGTCAGTATATTGGGTCTAATTCAATGTTTGTTGATGGAGTTTGCGGATGATTGCCAAGCCTCCAAGAATTCCCTGGCTGTCCTCTGTTTGACTTGTGCTATGATAGTACTGCTGTCCCAGTTGAAAGTGTGGTTTTTCTTGTCGGTGTGTATTGAAACCAGGGACATCTGGTCGTGTCATTTAGTTGCTAGCTGGTGTTCATGGATGCAAGTTGCTAGTTTTCTGCCTGTTTGTCCCACGTAGTGTTTTGTTCTCCGCATGGTATCTTGTCGACCATATTCATTCTGTCCATGGTATCTATTGGGTCTTTAACTCTGGTCAGTTGCTGTCTCAGTGTGGCTGCCGGTTTTTTAGTAGTCTTCTTGGCAGCACCTTGTCAAAGGCCTTCTCGAAATCCAAATAGATCACGTCCACTCTCTTTTATGCAACTTACTTGTTACCTCCTCAAACAATTCTAACAGATTCGTCAGGTTTGACATCCCTTGATAAAGCTGTGCCGACTCAGCTCTATTTTACCATGCACTCTAGGTACTCCACAATCTCACCCTTAATAACGCACTCTAAAGTCTCACCAATTTCTCAGGTCAGGCTAACCAGCCTATAATTTTCTGTCTTCTACTTACCTCCCTTCTTAGACAGGGGTGTTACATTCACCATTTTCCAGTGATTCCAGGAGGATGACACCAACACTCCCCCAATGTCCTCAGCTATCTCCTTCAGAACGCGTGCATGAATCACAAAAAGCTAGCATACACATAATAGGGACGGAGAAAGGAATAGTTGCTGTTATTTCGAAGCAAATGGAGTATAAAAATAGGGAGGTCTTGTTAAAAATAAAGAAGGCACTAATCAGGCCCTAGCCGGAATACTGTGATCAGTTTTGGAAAGCTTATCTAAGGAAAAATATATCCGCATTGGAGGCAGTCCAGAGATGGTTCACTGGTTGATCCCAGGTATGGAGGGACTGTCTTACAAAGGACAGGTTGAATAGGTTGGGACTATACTGGCTCAATGGAATTTAGAACAATGAAAGGCATCCTTATTGCTTGTGGGAGAGTCTATTACCAGAGGTAAAATCTCAGAGTCATGGTTTAAGGCATAACTGAGGAGAAATTTCTTCTCTCAAGAGTAATGGATCTGTGAAATTCTTCATTGTGGTCAGCTGTGGAGGCTGTGTTAAGAATATTCTATCAGGAAAGGAATTGTGGATTATGGGGAAAAAGCAGGAAGTAAAAATTGAACAATATCAGATCAGCCATGATCTCATTTGAATAGCACAGTAGATGCGATGGATTGAATGGCCTATTTCTACTCGTATATCTCATGGTCTTAAGTGCACCCTGGTGATTGACTTGATCTGGGAGTATGGCCATTTTTGTGGGCATCGCCAACTTCCCCTCAAAATGTGTTTCATGGCGCAAAAGATGAGGAAATGTAATTTGAACTATACCTATCTTGTGATTTAAATTTCTCTAAGATTTGAGTGAAGTGGAAACATTACCATAATGCGTCACAGGATGTAGTATTTTTAAACTGATGATCGAATTTACCTTGCAATCTGTGGTAATCCTATGCTTTTGGATGACATTGAAATATATTGTACTAAAAAATGATACTAATAAATCTTACCTATGAAAGTTTTCCAAGCCCTGGGATCTTCACTCTGTCTCCAACCATATGGCCACCCCATAACAACTGAATTATGCTTCATTCCACCAAGACCACACGATTGAATTAAATGTGCAATACCCTCTCGCACCTTTGAAGAAACTACTATTTGGCAAAATCCTTTGACCTTTTCAATTGCCATCATGTTTTTGATTGTCTAGATTGAGAAGCAAATGATAACTGAGTCAACAAATGGATTTCAACAGTTAAGTAATTTATACAAAGCATGCCTATACCATTTGCTACAAATGTAAATTGCTGCTCATATATTCTATTTGGTGTCCACTATGGTGATTTCTAAATAAAACCGTTCAATGAACCAGATTAGATATACTCTGGAGGAGTTTTCTACATTTTATGTATTTAGCCATACATATCTACAAATGAGAATTTAACCAAGATAATTACAGTCATTCCCAGAGCAGTTTTGAAAAGTTCTACGCAAGCAATTATGAAATACATACACATTACAAATTTCAAAAAAATCTAGGACATGATAGGAAAAATTGCTATTTATTCTGTGAATTTGAAAATCAGACCCTTTGGATCTTCTTAGACTGCATTTTCAGCCATGTGCACCTGCATGCATGGTGGAAAAATAAATTTTTCCAAAATGCTTTCATTTGAAGATTGATCTAATACACCCTTTTACCACACCTCCAAAAAAAAGTTTTGGTATACTGCTGCAAAGACAAATTGAATCCTTAATTACTGGCGTGAAGCTGGACTTCAGGGCTTATACGCCTGAAGGTCCTGGCAGCTGCAGGAATGTCACCTCTCCTGCCTCCTGATTGCACAAGAATGATACCAAAGATAACAAGCTGTAGAGCTGGATGAACACAGCAGGCCAGGCAGCATCAGAGGAGCAGGAAAGCTGACGTTTCGGGTCTGGACCCTT